TATTTTTCGGAACCAGGGATTGAACTCAGGCCCTTGTGCTTGCCAGGCGAGTGCTCATTCTGCTGAGCTAACTCCCCAGCCCGTCTCCATTTTAGAGATGAGAAAATTGAGCAGAGATACACTGAGCAACAGCACCTCAGCATCGGGTCAGTGAACAGCAGAACTGGAATTACTGTCTGGTATACAGGACTCTGAAACAGAGTTCTTTCTCTTATGCTGTTTGCCTCCCAAGAGCCTGATCAAAGCACAGCTGTCGGAAAGTAAGGTCAATTTTTTTTTTTTTTAAATAACAAGGTAATTAAGATACGGTAAGAGAAAGGTTTGAAAAAAGATTTATAAGAGAAATGAGATTTGGAGGTGGCCCCGGAGCTGGGACGCCCCACGGCTGTCTTCCTGTTCGAATTTTCCGTTTCCTAGGCTCCACAGGCCCTCCTTCTCTTCCTTCCTGATGCCCACCTGGCGCTCACACTGCAAGCCCGGGTGGTGACGTGGTGACGCCTTGGCCTCTCCGCTCTCTTGCTATTTTCAGTAGGTGAAACGGGGCTGGGAGACAGAGGACTCGGGCTGTTCCTAACCACAATCACTAGGTGGCGCTGGCACGCGCTGAGCCCTGCTGAAGGAATCCGCGTTCGCAAGGAATACTAACATTTCCTTTGCACTGTTTTCACTTGTTCCTTTACTGTCATTGATGATGTCTCTGTACTTGAACATACTGCACAAATAAAGGTATAAAATGAATTCTAAGATCAGATTTCCAGGAACCCAATGCAACTAAATGAAAGTATTTGGGTTCATTGGAACCAGTTTTGTATAAAGTTTTTTGCTGAACATTATAAACGCAACAGGGTTGTATTACCAAAGAGAAAGTAGGTGTTAAAAGAACTACACAAAATGGTCAAAATTTAAAGACAAACAAATATAAACTACATTAAAAAGGAAAAAAAAAAAAAAAAAAGGACGAGTTAAGGCTGAGAATGTAGCTCTGTGGTGGAGTTTGGCTAGTATATGAACCCCGGGTTCAATCCCTGGTATCAAAAACAAAACAACTGGGCTGGAGAGATGGCTCAGTGGTCTAAAACACCTACTTGGAACAAGCTTGGCAAAGCACAGGGACCCACGGTTCAATCCCCCAGCACCACATGCCAGCCAGCCGCGCCCCCTGGTGGGCTGAGCTGGCCACACACACACACACACACACACATACATAAATAAATAAAATTAAAAAACAAAAAACAAAACAGCTAAAACCCAAACCAACAAAACAAAACACCTAAAGAGAAAAAAGTAAAAGTAATAAGTAGTTATATTTGAGGTAGAACTGAGTGATTTTTTTCTTTTTTTTTTTTTTTTTGGCGGAACTGAGGATTGAACCCAGTCAGGGCCTTGAGCTCGCCAGGCAAGCGCTTGAACCGGGGATTGAACTCAGGGCCTTGTGTTTGCCAGGCAAACGCTTATTCTACTGACCCATCTCCCTGGCCCAAAAATGGACAGTCTTTTTTTTTTTTTTTTTCCAGAACTGGGGATTGAACTCAAGCCCCTGCGCTTGCCAGGCAAGTGCTTATTCTACTGAGCTATCTCCCCCCCCCGCTTCTTTTTCTATAGTTTCCTGTTGTACATTACTATTTAATATGCATACTAAGGGCGGCCAAATAGCTCAGTGGATTAAAGTGCCTGCTGGGGCCAGGATTTGATCCTGGGCTTGTTGCCCCGGGGTGCACTGAGACAGCAATTGAGACTGGACTCCTGTAACCCTAGTTCTTGGGAGGCTGTAAACAGGCGGATCACTACACATCTGATGGAGTAGTGAGACCATGAACACCCTGTAGACTCCTCCCTCATATGCATATGAAAGGTCAGGCATGATGGTGCACACCTGTTATCCCAGTACTCAGGAGGTTGAGGCAAGAGGATTACTGAAAGTTTGAGGCCAGCCTGAGCTACACAGTGAGATCAAGGCCAGCCTGAACTGCATAGTGAGACCATCTCTCTTCTCTCCTCTCCTCTCCTCTCCTCTCCTCTCCTCTCCTCTCCTCTTCTCTTCTCTTCTCTCTCTCTCTCTCTCTCTCTCTCTCTCTCTCTCTCTCTCTCTCTCTCTCTCTCCAAGAATAACACGAATTTTCTAAGAAGGCGCCATAAACATCATAAAGCCCACAGAAAACACAATCACACCATCTAACTGTCACTTTTTTTTTTTTTTTGCTCCGAATGCCTTCAGGGGAGGTTTGGCAGGCTTGAGTTGTGGGAATCGAACCACAGCAACCCGAGCCTGACTGCTTTGTTGAAGCAGCCACTTAAAGAACTGAGCTACGGGGCAGGCCCCCAAACTGTTACTCCATTCATTTCTCATACATTGATTTTTAATTTTCATTAACTTATATCATCATGGCCACCCAGAAGCAGGTGGAAGTGCCACAATGTCCTGGTGGCACCTGTGCTGCTGAGTGTGGCCTTTCAGAAACTGGCAAACAGCACTAGTGGATGGCAGAACTCTACATAAGGGAGGTACTTTGGAAATCTAGGCATAATCATAGTCGGGTAAAGACTCCACGAGCTACTGATTCCCCACTAGGTGGCGTTCTTGTCCAGAAAATGAGCACTAAGAGAGCGAGGTGAGAGGTCACGTGGCATGCAAGCTTGCTAAGGCTGGACGGACTGGAGTGAGAGTTCTTTTAGGAAATTGCTGTCCCAGGAAAATTTCCTGCTGAGGCCAGGCGTGACGGTGCATACCTGTAATACCAGTACTCAGAAGGCTGAGGCAGGAGGGTTGCAAGCTCGAGGCCAGGCCGGGTTACACACAGAGTAGCAGGTAAGCCAGGGAGATCGTGCCTCAGAAGAGCCCAGATCAAACCAAACCAAAATTCCTGCTCTTTTCTTCAGCTGCTCTTAGAGGTAATCTCTGGACAACCTTATGAGCAAAGCACGGCCAGGCCAGAGACACATATTTGAGGAACAGCACCTCAGTGCCATGTAGGGCCTAACCCTTTGCGAAGCCGAAGGGAATCAACTCATCAAGCCAGGTGTCTCTTGTCTCCTGTTTCTTTTCTTTTCTTTTCTTTCTTTCTTTTTTTTTTTTTTTGGCGGAACCAGGGATTGAACTCAGGTCCTTTTACTTGCCAGGCAAGTGCTTATTCCACTGAGCTATCTCCCCGGCCCCTCTTGTCTCCTGTTTCTGCAGCCGCCTGCACTTGGCACTTTGGCTCCCAGCGTCTCCAGCTCCAGGGTTTCCTGTTAAGCCTGGAGACCAGCTGTACCCTAAAAGTCTGGGGGCCCCACTCCAGCTGCCACTCGCTGGAGCTTAGGGAGCCCCTGCCACTTACCAGCTCCTCTTCTTCACCCCACTTTGAGAGATCAGAGGTGCAAGAGGACAGCTCAGGAGAGCCAAGCTCACTCCCAAAGCCAGTGTGGGCCGGGTGAGGTCTGTCCAGGAGACCCCCGAGCCTCAGTGCGGCGCCAGCTCTAACTGCAGTGGTGCACTTGAGACCTCTGTGCCGCCACATCCAACTGCTCGGGGAGGGAGGCAGCCTTCTCTTGGGGATCTGAACCATGTGGGGGATGCATGTAAGGGACGGGCTTTGAGGGGAAAAGGAAACTGCGCTTGTTCCTTTCCACTACCCAGCCCCAGCAGTGCAAGCCCAGGAGGGCAGTAGACTGGAAGTGGCTAGAGAGGCGGGGTGGCCGGCCACTGCAAACCGCGGAGCCCCACGCTTTCACCTGTGCCAGGGAGTCAGCTTGGCCCCGGCCGCACGCTCCGTTTTGCCAGGTCCTGTTG